TTCAGTTAGTGTGGTCCTGATGTGGTGACGTGAATGGTCAGTGTTCAGTTAGTGTGGTTCTTATGTGATGACGTGAATGGTCAGTGTTCAGTTAACGTGGTCCTGATGTGATGACGTGAATGGTCAGTGTTCAGTTAGTGTGTGGTCCTGATGTGATAACGGTCACGCTCTCTGGTCAGTTAGTGTGTGGTTCTGATGTAATGACACAAAATGTTCTCAGTGTGTGGTTCTGATGTGATGACGTGAATACTCTCAAAGATTCCAATTTCATCCAGCACAACAAAACATGTCCACTTAAAATCTTAAAGATTTAACTGACTACAATTTATGTTTTCTGTCAGTATAACACTACAAGACAACAGACTTCCGAGTAGCACTGTGGAGTATACATATGATAATAACTAACAACTACCCCAAACAAAGACAAATAGCAAGAACTTTCTAGAATAACATTTAACAGTTATTGGACAGTCTCCACTGCCGTGTGTCTATGCGCATATTAACTAGTTAAAATAATTGTTTACAGTTTACAGATCATTCTGATGGCTCTTACCTGAATGACTGCATTAAAAAAGCAAGTGTTTCCTAAATTTGTAATTCCTTTAACAGACGGCACACAGCTGCCTTTTCTTCCCTTCTTTACTTCACCTGCTTCCCGTTTTTCTTCACAGAGTTTTATGATTCTAGAAAATGCACCTGTGAAACATACATAAGTTACAGAAAACTTACGTCATGAGATATAAAATTAAATGTATCACTTAAAATTTAGACATATCATTTAAAATCAAGTAAGACTGAATCTTTGAATTTAGTGTTCCTGAACAACAAGACCACAAACTCAGTATCTTTGACTTTATAGTTTACTGCTATTGAATTGAACTCATTTTCATATAAATTTCTGTACCTTTACAAGGCATTACAGAATAATTCCCTGGTTCATTTAAAAGCTTAAAGGGAACTAGGTGAAAACAAACAGAAAAGACCTTCCTTGTAAATGCAATTCCCCACAGGAAAAGAAATGAGTGCCTAAAGACAAACTGTCCTAAGCTTCGGGCAGGAAAAATGAGAAATGAGCTATGAAATTGTTGTTGCAGAAATTCAAGGTCACCTGCAGCTACAAATAAAGTTTAAGTCAGCCTGGGCTATGAACAAATAAACCACTGGCTTCAGGCTGCACGGTACATCATTCCAAGGTGTACAATTTGAACATCAAAGTAAACAAGAGTAGTAAAATAGATGATTACAGAATATTGGTAATAACTTTTTTATAAGATGAAATGGTGAGACTTTTTTAATTTAAAAATATTTTAATGTGCATTGGTATTTTGCCTACATGTATGCCTGTGCACTCATGCCTGATGCTCGCAAAGGCCAGAGAGGGCATTAGGTGCCTGGTGATGGAGTTAGAGATGCTTTTGAGCCACTATGTGGGTCAGGGAAAGTCAAACCCAGGTCCTCTGAACAAGCAGCAAGTGTTCCTAACAGCTGAGCCATCTCTTAGCTCCACAAGGGAAAACTTTTCTTTAGTTTTGAGACAGGTCTCACTATGTAGTCCTGGCAGTCCTGGAAATCACTCTGTAGACCAGGCTAGTTTCAAATTCACAGAGATCTTCCTGCCTCTGCCTCCTGAGTGCTGGGACTGAAGAAAAGCATCATTACACCAGGCTCAGAGAGAAAACTTCTGATGAAAAGACAACTAGTTAACAAAAGAAAGGAGCAGGTCAGGAAACTACCATATTACAGTGACGCCCTTTGGTAAAATTGGCAACTTTCCTATGGGTTTGAAAATGTAAAAGTAAAAACAGTTAATGGGATCACAGTATACTACAAAAAATAAAATACCAAGCTTTGTAACTGATAATTTAGATAACTAGTATAGATCTGATAATCACATTTGATTTTTGAAACAGGGTCTAAATAGCTTTAGAGACAGGATCTATGTAGCTGTGATTGGCCTAGAACTTGCTAGGTAGATGAGGTGGTTTTGAACTTGTTTCAGCCTCCCTTGGGTTGGAATTAAAGGTATGTAACACCACGCCCAGTTGAAAACTGCATTATTAGTTTGTGTCCAGTGACAATGTAAGAATGAAGAACAGTTTCTAACATTTACAAACTGACACGTTGATCATATCTACGCAACAGATAACTGTGACTCAAAATCATCAGACAGGGCACTGTGAATGTAGCTTACTTCATGGACTGCTTGCCTAGCATAGAGGAAGCCCTAGGCTCATTCCCTATACCACAGACACCAGGCTGGGGGATATGCATGGAATTCCAGCAGGTGAAAGGTGGAAGCAGGAAAATCAGAAATTCAAGGTCATCCTCAACTACACAGCAAGTTTGAGACTCATAAAACCCTGTTGTAAAAACAAACAAACCCACTTAGTCATCCCTTGATATACACACAGTAGACCACACTTGTAGGACTCCTAGAACACAAATACTCAAGTCCTTCAAATACATTTTAGGAATACATCAGGCGTAAAAAGGCTAGATTTCTACTAGTGTTGCTGTCTGATCTTGTGGATATTCACTGATAATGGATTCTTATTTATTTTATACACATATATTAATTTTATATAATAATGAGTTTTATTGTGACATTTTCATGTATCTAATGTTTTCGTCATCCTCATCCTCCTTTATTATACTCTTGGTCGCCTCGTAACCTTGCTCCTCCCTGCGTCCCAGTCAACCCCATTTCTATGTCCCAGGTTGCTTTGTTGTCAGTGGTGCTGTTTGGTGACCCATTTCCATGTTTCTTACAAGATCCCCAGCTGATTTACAAAGGTGATGGCTACTTACAAGTGGCCGTGCCACTAAATGTCTGTGTCAGGTGTGGTGGCACTGCCTTAGGTCCAGCACTGTCTCACACAGGCTAAGTGATCTGCTCAAGGACATAGCAGTAATATTCCAATTATAAATCCATCTCTTTAAAGCCTAAATTCGCATCAGTGACTCATGCTCAAGGAAAATAACTATAAAAGACAATCGGTTAAGATTCTTACAGATCTGGGTGTATGCAGCAATGTATGAACAAATGAATCCTCAAAAGATGTTCCTTTCTTTAACATCCTTAATAAGTGCTGTTCTGCTATGTAACATATCTGATCACACTTGGGTGTGATCCTCCTGCTTCCCCTCCAGTATTCAGGATTTCAATTATCAACATATCAGGTATTCTTAAATGCTGGGGACTGAACCCAGGACTCTTACATCCTAGTCAAACACTCTATCAACTGAACTACATACCAGCCCTGTTCTTTGAACTTTCACACACACAAAAAAAAAATAGTTGGGAGAAATAAGTTACAGAGAGTAACTACACAGAGATAAATAGTACACAAATCCACTTGGAAAAATAGTCCTAGAAATAAGTAACATTAAATTATTGTCTATATACCCTTTATGTATCTCTGTACCTCATTCATCCATCACTTTTTAAAACATCTGGGATGACATCCCAAAGTAAACAATGTTCATAAGACCATCTGGACAAAACTGCAGGCAAGAAAAAAAAGCACAAACATATGGAAAACCAGATTCCTCTTCCCTTCAGCGGTAAGGACTGGCAAATGTCAAATCTGGAGACAGCCACGCTTCACTGTGCGATGCTTTGCAGCACCACCTGGCTCTCCATGCAAAGCCACCAAATATGGGCAGCGCTGCCAGAAAGAACATGCCCACAGGGCAGCAGCAATAAACACAGTGGATTTCACGGTTAAATAGCCACTTCACACAAGTGGCAAGGGTCTGTCTGCTCACTTTTGCGGTAAGTCTGAGAAAATAGCCAGGATGTAACAATGCTGTTAGGCTTGGGCATTAACTACATCAGAGAATTTAACCAGAAAACATAGTAGTATTTTCTGAAAGCTACTTTATTTTAAAAAATAAATAAAAAATAGGAAAAGTTTTATAATACAGAAGAATTTAAATCCAGTCAGTTTATGAATGCCTACAGTCTGCCAGGTATATGAACCACTATTTCTATTATATAGAATACTTACGATTTATGACCAGAAAGTATAGAGCTGGTATCAAAAGCCTCAAGTTTATAGTATTATTTCAGCAGAACTTTCAGGACCTACATTTTGCGGATCTATTCACTAATGAACTGTCTGCAGAGAGTTAAGATTCTAGTTTAAAATTGGGGGTGTCTGAATTAGTCAAATATTAAACACCTAAAGGTATGTGTGTTTTTGCTGCAATGTCTTATTTATGAACTGTTGGGGCCTGGGCCCCAGGTTTCAACCCCTAGGCAAGTAGGCAAATAGGCAAGCACGCTAGAAAATGAGCCGTGCCACGGCCCTTCCACCTCCTTTATAAACACAGAACCGACTGAACTCTAAGATTTTTTTGGAATGTTTTATAATGAAAATTGCAAATCTTCTCCAAAAAATTAATAACTTAAAAGATCATACAAATTTTTTATTATTGTTCATTTTTTACTGTTTAACCCACAATTAAAACAAAGGTACCGATGATTAGAAAGAATAAGTCTAGTATTTCAAAGTTATTTTAAAAGCATATTCTAGCTATAGTACCATATATTCCCTCACATTAACAGAATTATATAGAATAAGAACAGCTTTCAGGCATTCTAATTTTCCATTTGCTTGCTTTGGCTGCTGAGTTGGGTACTGAACCATATGACCCCAGGCCTCCTCTAGCAACACTCATGTCTTCACAGAGACAGGGTTCCTCTGTGAGGTAGGCCTGGCTGTCCTGGAACTAATGGTAGATCTGAACTTATTGTTCAGAATGGGAGACCTGAAGTTACAGAGAGATTCGTCTCCCGAGAGCCGGGATTAAAGGCGTGTGCTGCCACAACCCATGAATAAACCTTCACTTTTCTTTTGCCCTTCAAGACAGGGTTTCTCTGTGTAGCCTTGTCTTCTTACAGCTCTTTTAATAATTCTATACCTTACCTTGGAAGCCTAAAGTTTACATACACAAAGAGTAATTTGAGCAAGCTAGGGGGAACAAGTCAGTAAGCAACACCCCTCCATGGCCTCATCAGCTGCTGCCTCTAGGATCCTTCCCTGCTTGAATTCCTGCCCCGCTACTTTGGATGATGAACTGTCATATTGAACTGTGGGTGAAATAAACCTTTCTCTCTATAAGTTGCTTTTAGTCATGGTGTTTCATCACAGTAACCCTAACATAGACAAACTGGTACCAGGATCACGGGGTATGGCTGTGACAGACCTAATCATGTTGCTTTGGGAGGACTGTGGAAGGATTTTGGAAATTTGGACTGGAAGAGCCACTGAGTGTTGAGAGTTCAGTGGGCTGTTCTGTAGGAGCTTGGAACATAAGAACATTGAACACAGTGCAGACAATGGAGGCCTGGCTTGTGAAGTTCCAGAGGAAGTTGGAGTCCCTTAAAGACTCTATCAGGGTTATTTGCTATGGTGGGTTGAGAATCTGGTTAGTCGGGGATGAAGGATCAGTCCCGACTAACAAGAGACCAGAACCGCTAAAGTAAAATACTTGCTTTGTTGGGAAAATAGATGCTGGTCAGATGGAGCTAAGAAATTATAGCAGTGATTGAAAAGAGACTAGCAACAATGAGGTAAAACTTTCTGTGAAGTGCTTCCTCAGGGTTAGCACACAGAGGCTGTGTTCCAGAAGGGGCCAAGGTTATACCCTGTGCTAGCAGCTGAACTTGGTAGTGTAAGAGTCTCCCAGGC